AGTATCCCTTTAACGGCGTCGGCGGGTTGGCGCAGTTAACGTCGTCTGCTTTACGTCTGCTAGTCAAAGCGATGGCTGCTTTACCTTTCCTGCGTCTGCCAGAGATTCACCGCTTTTTCACCGGCGAGAGTCACCGTTGCCTCGGGAAACAAGGAGATAACAAGAGGAAGAAATTGACCTCTTAACCTAAAAATGAGGTCAGCGATCAAAGTATAATACGGCAAGGGTTCACAAGGGTCGCGCGGGCATATTCCATTCAGCACGCCAGCCGGTCGTGGGCAGACGGTCGCCGAGTCGCGGAGTGCCTGCTAGGCCTAACTGCCGTACTCGCTTGGTCGTGTTCGGTGGAATCGTGGCCGTTGGAGCTTTTCCCGGGTGTTTGTGGATACAGCGTTCTTGTTCGTCGTGGTCTGTTTCAAGTACTTTTTACTTTTTTCTTGCTGCTTGAAGTCGGGACGCATGAGAAGCGCACGTAGAAAAATAAACGTCCATGGGTCGTCGCGACCGCGACGCTGTCTGCCATGCTGATTTGATCGTAAGAAGTGCGTAAGACAGCTTCGGAGCTGCCGTAGGATTTCGTCGTAACCCGCGCAAAACTTACGAAAATTTCGTTTCGTGTATACGAATTTGTTCTTAAGTTTTGTCTTACGCACATTTTTGGCGTAAGATCGTTTCGTAAATCTGGCCTCTGCACTTTCGAAAGTCGCAGGAAAGGTAAGACAGACGCAGACGACGTTGCGAGCAGACGACGTTGCAAAGGAGCAGACGACGCTCAGAGAGGGGGTCGCGATCAGCCAATCAGGGCTCGGCGTTCTGACGTCAACGCTACCCCCTGCGCAAGAAGCAGACGAACTTGCCCTCCGCATTGACGCCGCCGACCGCCGACAACACACGTACGTACCTTTGCAAGTCCGCCGCTTGGAGACTTTACTGTGTATAAAAGACATCGAACGAGAACTAACGCGCCCTGTGTGCTTTCAATTCGGCTGAAAGGCGCGCGGCTCGCTGGGCTCGTCTCTCGCCTGTTCTCGGCCGCTGGCCGCCATGCTTCATAAGGAACACGCTCGAAACGGTTTTGCGGAAGGCACACACGGTGTAGCGTGTTAAGTTTACACAGCACCTCATGTGTAGACGAAAAACACAGATGGCCTCGTGTAGAACGAACACGTTTCGACGTGTCCGCTATGGGACAACGGTTTACACGTCTGGGCGTGTTATTTTTGCTAACACCCTATTGGAAAA